AAAAAGTTTAAAACAAAATTCTGAAAATTGTAAAAGTTTTCTGTGAATATCAGTTGCATAGTAATTCATCCTTTTTAATAGAGCACTCAATGTAGAAATGAAAAAGTACCCCTCATGTCTCTGACTGCAGGAACTTAGGAAACTATAAAGATGTACATATAAAGAACATTTTCAGAAAAATGTAAGTTTGGAAACATAAAGTAAAGCCTCAAATATTTCAAATCTTTTACAGTTTGAATATACAGCTATATATATTTATAGAAATTAAATATTAGAGATTCTCCCATGCAAATTGAGGTGGTAGTCCAAATGGACCTAGTCTCTCCTCCAGTAATATGTCTGCTCCATCCAGGGATACATTAGTTGTAAATATTTAGTTATTATCACGAACATACTAATGGAAAATATAATGCAGTATATTCTACATTCCTGGTGATAAGAAAACAGATTTTTGAAAAACTTTGAAAAATCTGGCAAGTTCTGAGGTGGCAGACACGGGGTGGGGAAGGATGAGATAAGAGGAGAAAAATACAAATAAATGTAGTATTTCTAAACTAATTCTTGTCTGAAAAATGAAAGAAAAAATGAGAATCAAAAAAATGACAGCAAACATTTATTTATTTGACTCCATAAGAAAATAGAGCTTTTCAAATAGTATCCATCAGTGTTATCAATTTTAGTTTTACAGTAGTGTGAAGATTCGATGTTTTTCTGTTTGACTTGTGGCACACTTTAAGAACCCAGTGTGTGTGTTTGTGTATGCATTTATAAAAGCCACTCACTGGATAGTTTTTAAAAATCAGTATGATCAGTAAGTCAGTATAATTACCAGGATTCACAAGGCAGAAAGATTAGAGAATCATTTAAATTCTTTCCAAATATGAATGTTGACCTCCCTTCATCAGAGACATGCTATGGAATCAAGACACTCAGAGACAGTTCCTCTAGACTCTTCCCTAATTTGTACAGTCACAAGAAGCTTTTGGAATTTTACATTCATTCAGGACTCAACAATCAGTTTCTGTTATATATGTTAATTTATCCTGCAAAGAAATGTTAGGTGTTTGTGATGCATGTGGGAGTCACCACACGTAAAAGTGGATTCCAGATCTTGACATCAAATGGATCTGTGGATGACTCTTGCTCAGTTACTTGGATCTTTCAGGTTTGGGTTAAGATTTTAAAACTTCTGCAGCTATTGTGTTATTTACCTATAAAGTGGGATGATAATAGCTACATCTCTACTCACAATTGAATAATTATTTTAAAGAATAAAAGAAACAACAAATGTAAAGCACTTGCCTCATGAAATAAGAATTTAATCAATGTTAGTAAATATCCATATCATCTATTATTGTCACTGTTACTATTACTACTGCTGCTTTTAGTATTGCCCTGACATTGACTTACCAAAGATAACCAATCTAGACTGGCTAATCAATCCATATCCTATAGTATCTCTTAGTCTTACAGGAGAAAATGCCCTACACAGATGAAATGTTAAATAACCAATCAGAGGGTCTAGATGAGCCTGTGAGATACAGAAACATGAGGTTCACAAAAGGCACCAAATTGTAGTGGTTAAGATTTGAATTCCACTGGAGCTCCTTGCTCTTCATCTAGTCTTACCACTGGCCAGTTATGTCACAAAAAGCTACTTATTTATACTCTCTTGCATGTAAAATGAAACAATAACTATATATCCTATGTGGAGTCATTGGAAGGATTAAAAAAAAATAATATGTGTAAGTCATTTGGAAAACTGACTGGAACAGACAAAGTGCTTAATAAGTAATAGCCATCACTACATCCTTCCTGATAGCCAGTTCAAGACCTAGTACAGAGATAGGCAATAAATATTTGTTGATTTATTAAAAGTAATAATAGTATCAGTAACAAACTAGAGGCCTGTAACACTGGTGTAATCAATTTATTTTTTATTTTTAATATTTTTATTGGTACATTTTAGATATGCACTAGTCATATTCATCATTGGGATCTTGTACCTTTACATGACAGGTCTTGGTTCTTATTTTTCCCCATTCCCCTGTCCTCCCTTTTCCCCTCCACCCTTCCCTATTTACAAAACTTTGTTTCCACTTTTTTCCTTTTCTCTTATTTTTTCTCTTCCCTTTTCATCTTTCCCCTACCTCTCCCATTTGCCCAAGACCTCTAGAACTTTTCTTCCTATTACAAAATGTCAATCATTTTGACCCTTATTTACACTTTTAGTTGATCACACCAGAGAAACTATTTGGTATTTACATGTGTGTCCTATTAATTTCACTTAAGAGTATGGCTTCAATGTAGTGTCATCCATTTAAAACTGAAGGGAAAGGAATCACTGGAATAAAGATTCAATATTCATGCACTTCCGTGAGCCTGTATTTCAATGGTCTTGCTTTCATTTGAATATGGAAAAAGGAACATTAAGGCTTAAAAAAAAAAACTATGTGGGTTAAAAGAAGGACTAGCTTTGTAATCTGCAGCACATATATCCCACTTTGTAGGACCCTCATCCCCCATCAGAGTGATACATACATAGAGAAACACATATCCATACATGTTTTGAACACACATATATGTGATAATTGGATATGTTGTCACTGAATAATATTTTCTAATTATATTGACTAATGTAACCTAACAGATTATTCTTATAAATTGATCATTTAGATATAGTTTGTCTGATCAGATTGCCTGACACACATGAAAGATTTTGTGGGAGGTCACACACCATCTCTCTGTGCTAAGAATACCCAGGAAAATTTGGCAACCCTGTGCTACAGATTCTCTCTCCCCTGAGGAAACCTAAAATTGTTGTGTAAGTTTGCGAGCTATAGAAGTGTCCACCTCTTTCCAATGGACCACTTTTGCAATACTGAGAGACTTTAAGGTCAGTCAATATTAGCTTTCATAAGAAGAATTAAAATTATGTAATTTGGGATTTTTAAAAAGCCACCTCTCTGAGCCTGTGACCCAACTGCTTGAAAGATTTTTTCTTTAACTTTTTGCTTATTACCATCCCTGAACCACTTTTAATCTTTTGCTTCCTAGATATCTTGGAGCAAAGCCCATGCCACATAGATTACCTTGTTTGGAGCATTATACACACACACACACACACACACACACACACACACACACACACTGCATTATCTCACTTGATCCTCCTATCTTAGTTACTTTTCTTGTTGTTGAGACAAAATACACAGCGCCCAAAGTTAAAGGAGGAAAGGTTTATTTAGCTCACAGTGAGTAGAGGTTTCAGTCCATCATCTGCCGACTCCAAGGCAGGGTGGTATGGCAGACAGGCATGGCACAGGAGAAGCAGCTCGTGGGGGACAGAAGGTAGCAAAGCAACAAGGGTCGACCCCAGCTCTTTCTAGCCCTTATATCTTAACCAGGCACTTAGGGGAGGGAGCACTCACACCCTTAATCGTAGTCCCCTTGGTCCTCGCATTGCACCAGAAAACAATCCCAGCCTCACACACTCCAGATCCAGCCACCTCTGAAGAAGCCCCACCTATGACAGCATGAGGCTTTGGGGACATCTAGACACACGCCTTAACATCTCCCAACAACCTCTTAAGTAGGAATGGCAAAGACTTGTAATTTATTCCCATTTTCAAGATATACAGATGGAGGTATATGACCACCCTGAAACAGGACGCCAGATGTTTGGTCCAGCACCCCTTTAATGTGTCAATGCTTGGGACTCTATGCATGAACTGGTTAGCAAAGTAGAATTATAACAAAACTGCCCCAAAGGAAATCTTTTGAGTTTTCTGTCTAGATTCCCAGACGATGACATTATTCTGAAAATCAAATGTGCACTACAGCCACAATGCAGACATTCTGGCCAACAAAGTCATATTCATGTATCCATAACATAGTAAATAATCGTATATTTTCCCTTCTTTGTAAAATTGCCTGAAAATAGCTCCCCCTTGCTGGCTTTGGAAGCCCACTTCACCAAAGTTAAAACAGCGGAGGGAGTCAGTAGGCATTTTTGCTTAGCACCCCCCTCCCGCCAGCATCAGGGCTCCAGTTGTCCAGCGAAACTAATTAACACGGAGGTGATGTTTCCCACCCTCCTTTGGAACACCTCTTTGCTACCTACACATCGCCTTCTCCCCTCTCTCTCACCTGTTCCCTGGACACCACTGCCTGCCCGGACACTGGACGCTGTCAGGCAGCTGTTCTTTGTCCTCGGGAGGAAAACTCCGCACTGCTCCAGAGTAACCAGAGGGTCTCTGTGGGCTACTGCGGCCCAATACCTGCCGTCCCGGCCGGCTAAGTTGGGTTTCCCGGAGAAAAATTCAGGAATCTAGTTTAGAGAAAATTCCCTAAATCTCCAGGATCCACGGAGAAGCTGGAAAACCGAAAGACCACCGCACAAGCCCGGGGCCGCTGTAGCCACAGGCGCGGCACGTCACAGGGCTGCGGTGGGACGGGCAAGGGCGTCTGTACTCCCGAGCCGAAGCAGGGGAACGCGAAGCAGACAGAAAGCGCGCAGCTGCGACTCTGGAGGGGGACGTGAGGAGGATCGGGCCATGGAGAGATGTAGTTCCCGGAACAAACTTGACGCGGGAGTGGGATTAGCCAGCTGGACTTCCCAGGGGTAAACTCGCTGAGCAAAGCACGGGAGTTAGAGCGCCAAATTCGTAGACGCGAGATTTCCAGCGCCCGCGCTGTACTGCGGCTGTGGATCGCAAACATGGGTTTACAGAGACTGGAAAATGAGGCTTCAGGAAAGGGTGATGAGCCCAGAAATGGCTCGGCATGCCCAGTCCTCCAAGTCTTTGGAAGAGTGGGAAAGCGCTGGGATCCCGCCTATTTATTGTGCCTAGGAATCCACACGAGCCTCAGCCCCACCCCGCAGCAGTGATGCAAACAGGGCAATTTACCCACGCAGGCGGGCGGGACCCAAAGGGGCTGGACCGGCTCCAGCCACTGGATCGAGAAGGAGCGCGCTCCAGGGAAACAAATCTCGCATAAATAATTGAGTTGGGAGTCAGTCCCGGACTTTCAGAAGCTCGAAGCGCACAACACCCCAGCGCTTTGTCGGAACTGGATAAAGGCAGAGCACGGAGGTCAGGAACCCGGGCGCCGGACTGAGAGCTGCTCTGTGGTGGGCAGGTGGGAAGTGCGAAGGCGGGAGAAACTGCGGAGCGGGTGAACGCCGGGCTCCGGGAAGAACAGCGCGCTGCAGGCCGAGCGCCCGAGTGCTCCGGGGCGGGAAGGGAGAGGCCCCCGCGCACCGCGGGCTGGGAGGCGCTGCACCGACAGCATGCGCCTGTCCGGAAACGCGGACGCGGGTCCACAGGGCAACTCCAGCGCTTGGTGGACTCCGACTTCAGATGGCGCCAACAACACCCGCGAGGTAGATGTGCCGGGAGAAGGCGACGGCCCACCGGGGGACTTGCGCGATGAGGAGCTGGCCAAAGTGGAGATCGCTGTGCTGGCTGTGACTTTCGTGGTGGCGGTGCTGGGCAATAGCAGTGTGCTGCTGGCTCTGCACCGCACGCCGCGCAAGACGTCCCGCATGCACCTTTTCATCCGGCACCTCAGCCTGGCCGATTTGGCTGTCGCCTTCTTCCAGGTGTTACCGCAGCTGTGCTGGGACATCACCTACCGCTTCCGCGGACCCGACTGGCTGTGCCGCGTGGTGAAGCACCTGCAGGTGTTCGCCATGTTCGCGTCGGCCTACATGCTGGTAGTCATGACCGCCGACCGCTACATCGCCGTCTGCCACCCGCTCAAGACTTTGCAGCAGCCCGCGCGCCGCTCGCGCCTCATGATCGCCGCCTCTTGGGTGCTGAGTTTCGTGCTGAGCACACCGCAGTACTTCATTTTTTCCATGATCGAGGTAGACAATGTCACCAAGGCCCAAGACTGCTGGGCCACCTTCATCCAGCCCTGGGGTACCCGCGCCTACGTTACCTGGATGACGAGCTGCGTTTTCGTTGCACCCGTGGTCATCTTGGGTACCTGCTACGGCTTCATCTGCTACCACATCTGGCGCAACGTCCGCGGAAAGACAGCGTCGCGCTTGGGCAAATGTGCAGGGCGCTCTGGGGGTGCCTTCCATAAGGGTCTCTTGGGCTCACCCTGTGTCAGCAGCGTGAAGACGATTTCCCGCGCCAAGATTCGCACTGTCAAAATGACTTTTGTGATTGTGACGGTCTATATCCTCTGTTGGGCGCCTTTCATCATCGTCCAGATGTGGTCGGTCTGGGATGAGAAGTTCCTCTGGACCGGTAGGTGCTGGGACAACGGAGAATGGAGGCTGGGGGCTGTGAGTGGCACAGTTTTTCGTAGTGATCCCACAATAGCTCTTGAGCTTATGCGTGCATAAAAATCATACCTTGGGATCGTCGGAAGAAATTGTCAGAATGCAAATTTCTGGGGTCTCAACTCCAGATTTAACAATTCAGTTTTCCTACAGTGAGACCCAGGAGTAAACATTTGTAGCATACAATGATGATCCTAATACCACAAATCCAGAAACTGTCCTAGAGCACCATCAACTACAAAACAGAATGATGGCCTTTTGCCAAATCACTAACTACTGTGTGAATTTCCTACTTTCAATTCCACTGGATTCAGGGAAATATTTCTAGTGTCATAACTGCTTTTCGTTGGATTGTGAAAAGCATCAAAATTAATACAAAATTTTATAGACGTTCCCCAAAGTAAGAATAAAGATGAAAATCTTTTTCTGGAGAAAACTAGGAAAAGATTCTTGAGAAGTGGAGAACTCAAAACTGTTATTTAGCTTATATTCCCTTCCTTGTTATGAGTTTTTTTCTAACCAGAATTGCTTTCTTCTCCTTGATATTTTAAAGCAGTGTTATTGATCAACTAAATTTAATTAGACAAATTCTTTAGTCTTTTAGCAATAATTTGACCACACTCTACATAAATGTTGTATAGAGAGCTCTCGCGTGTTTGATTTTCTTTCACAAAATAGGCTGATTTCATAGGAATTTACACAAAAAAGGTTATTAAGTTTTGCATCTTGTAAAGTGTTTTTTTAAGGAGAAAAAATCATTTTCAATAAAAGAATACTACAGAAATATTTCTGATAATGGCTATACTCAGGATATAGATATCTGGGAGAAGCCATCATTTATGTTTTTTAGGATTGAGGTCAGAGTGGAGTGGATGCTATATATTTGCAAATAAAACTTTTGAATGCAAAATTAACTTCAACAAATAAATATTCCTGTAGGCTGTAGCATTATCAATAAGGAAAAATACAACACATCTGTCCTGTTTGATCTTAGAAGCCTCTAATATTGCCAATCAAATAAAAACCCAGTCTAATTATAACTATATTGACAATTAGGCACAATTACTAAAAATTTCGGCACTTGTGCATAGAAATATAAATGATTTCTATTTTTAATGCAATCAGCCATGGATTATGATCACTTTTACCAACAACATCTACCACAAAATGTTTGCTAATCTAATTCACTTTCACATAACAACAGTGAGAAAACCCAAATTTATGTACACTAATCAAGAAGTCAGTGCTTGCTCATACTCTTATTTTTAGAAAAAGTGCATGATCATTGCAATAGTTTCACTCTGAAAAGTTATATTTATGTAATTTGCCAATATCAGTTAACACAAAATGTTTCAAAATTCTGTTGGAATTTCTTAATCCAGCTGTTCTTAATATAATTTAATTGTTTTAAACACAAAGATGATTTTCTTTTAAAATCAAATGAAATTTTGAATTATCCATATAAAATAGCTTTGTATATTAAAAGTATATGTTTAATGTTTAAAACTACCAAATATGGTCCATGATGCTATACTTTGGCCTGAGCAATTTATTAGGATGAAAATAATTGGGTATATATTGTTTTAGACTTTTGAAATTTCATTGAAATTTTAGGCATTCCGTAATTAGCACATGCTCATATTAGTGTGAACTATAGAAAGATTTTTTAAAAATTAACTATTTTATAGATTTGCTTCTTGAATTAACATATTCTATTTAAATATTTTAATAGTTATTTTAGAACATTTGCATTAATTTTAAAGCATTTTGCTTACAAAAATATTTTATAATCAAGCAATTTCTAAGGGCCACCAATTTCCCTGACTAATAAGCAGGATCATTTTCTGTACTAACCTATAATTTTTTTTGTTTCTTCAGTCACTAGAAAAATGAATTTAGTGCTCAATTTCTTGTTTTGACTATTTAAATACTCTTTCCTTATAATTTTTCATATAGATTCAGAAAACCCTTCTACAACCATCACTGCATTACTGGCTTCCTTGAACAGTTGCTGCAATCCCTGGATATATATGTTTTTTAGTGGCCATCTCCTGCAAGACTGTGTCCAAAGCTTCCCATGCTGCCAAAACTTGAAGCAAACATTCAACAAAGAAGATACTGACAGTGTGAGCAGAAGACAGACTTCTTACTCGAACAATCGATGCCCAACAAACAGCACAGGTACATGGAAGGACTCACCTAAATCTTCCAAGTCCACCAAATTCATTCCTGTTTCTACCTGACCCCAGGTTCATGCAGCCTGACTCTTTTGACTGCCTTTTTTATCTATTAGCTGAATCCAACTAGAAGTCCTGAGAACAATCGAACTCACGTGAGAGAAATATAATTCAGTTCATTTTGTACAAGACTTTGTTTCTAGTTGCATTATCCACATTGCTATGGCCAAGCAGTGTGAATTGTTTTATATAGAATGTTCATGAAAACAGAGTACACTAAACTGTGTAAACCTGGTTCCAAGAAATAGAATGGGAGTTATGTTTCTAAAGGAAAAATCGTAACCAACATGAGTTTATATTTTGTTGGTTTATTTTTGTTTCTGACATAAATCAATCTTGACTGGTTTCCTGAACAAACTGAGCTCATCATTTAGAGGAGAATTCAGAGTAATTGTGTTTCCATCCATTAAAATCAATGCAGGTATCATAAAGTGAACCCCCATGTAATAACTTAGAGAATGGCACTTTGAAGAGGTACGAGCTGGGGCATCCTGAGCAGCAGGTGGCTAGCTCAGAGTGAGAAAGATTGAGTTTGGTTAGAAGCGAAAAGTCACCCTGAAATTCAAAATGATACCTAGCAGTGCCCTCTTTTAGGTTCCTCACTATATATGGGCTCTGAAGTATTGTAGACAGGCCAATAATATGTTTTTCCTCACACTACAAAATTGTTTTTAAACCAGATTTGTTTGAGGAATGCCACATTTTATAGAAAAGTAGAAAAAGATTACCTAAGGTAGTCTGAAGACTTATGTTGGACATTGTAAATGTGTTATTTTCCCACATTATAAGATGTCCTATGTAGCGCTGGATATTAAACATGATCATTTCCTTCATGTTTTGTGAATCCAGTTTTATAGATGAGAATCTTCTTGATAATGACTCAGAATATAAAATGCCCCCTTCTATGTTTAATTGGGAGATCCTTCCAATCTCCCATCCACCTAACAGTTTCAGAACAGAGAAGAAAAGCAGTAGGGGTCAAGGGCAGAAAGGTAAATGGAGAGAGAAATGCTCTGCACCTAGTCTGAGTTTCATCATTACTAAATGCATGCCTTTGGACAAGCTACTTTAAAACACATAAGGCCTGTTTCCTTGACTGTATAATGGAGTTGGTAACACTTACCTCACAGGGTTGTCATAAGGACTACGTGAAACTAATGTGTGAAAAGAGTTTCATAAACTGTAAAAATGGTGTATATATGTATGCTAACAGTTGCTTTTATTATATTCTTGGGATCTCCAGAATTGCACAGATGTTTTTCTCACTTATGTTTTGTTAAGCAAAAGTGGTTGATTTCATGTTTGTGATGTAAAATCCCGAAATTTAAATATAGATCTGCTCAGTCATTGGAAAACATTGTCAGTAGCCACTCAGCCTGACTTGCCCTGCTCAACTAAAGTTTTCCAGTATATGGAATTTGCTATTTTTTTAATGCAGGTAAACCAAAGCCATCCAAGAATATCAGTTGCTTTTATTTCTAAACAGCAATAAGTTACAACCCTCCTAGCAGTTGATTTATTTTTTGTTATTGTTGTTAATGGAACTTACTGATTTTTTGACTAGCTATTTTGTCTGGCTCCTTCTTAGAAACCATACAGAAATTTGAGAATAAATATTTTGAGTCTCTTAGAGGAAAGAATAGTTACTTTTAGTAGTAGTACATGGCTTCCTTTTTTAACTTAGTAGATAAGAATCTGTGAATTGCGTAGCACTGCAATAATCTGAAGCCATCAACTTCACTCCTCTTCATTCTTCTGTCTTTCCAATTTCTCAGCCCTTATACTCTAAAAATATGAATATAAAATACACTATAAAATATGAGAAAATGAAAAAATGGAAATGAAGTGTTTGTAAAGAGGGAGGGGAGGAGGGGAAGGGTGGGCAGAGGTAAGGGGTAAAAATGAGAACCAAGACCTGTCATGTAAAAGTACAAGATCCCAACAATGAATGTAACTGTACTGTATACCTAAAATGTACCAATAAACTCAATGAGGAAAAAAAATTCTCAAACATATTCTCATATTTTTATAGGTTGATAAGCCTAAAAAATATTTCCAAATGTTCTGCAAAAAGTAGCCCCTTTGGTTTTTGAAATTCCTCTTTATAAAACCAGCAAATAGGACTGCGGATGTAGCTCAGTGGTAAGCACTTTCCTAGAGGCCCTGGGTTCAATTTCCAGCATACAAAGCAGGTCACATTAAATAAAAATTACAAGTATATGTCTTTTTTAAAAATAGTTTTGTTGTTGTTGTTTTGGGTTTTTATTTTTTGTTTATTTTATTTATTTATTTTTTTGGTATGGGAAGTCGAACTAGAGTCCTTGCGTTTGTGAGGCAGGCAGCAAAACCACTAAGCTAAATCACCAGACCTACAAGTATATTTCTTAAAGTGCACTGTTCAATATAGGCCATCAACTAAATGAATGAATTCTTTATTTGAGTTAGAGCAACAGAAATGTAACACAGCCTCTCTAAAATGGTCAAACTTTTTGAGAATTTATTTATTTATTTATTTATTTATTTTTCCAGGAATTGAACTACGGTCCTTGTACTTGCAAGGTAGGCAGCAGAACTGCTGAGCTAAATCTCCGGCCCGAGAATTTCTTTTTGATAATTTAAAAACTAAGGACTTGTATTGGAACAAAGATGAGCCCATTATTTTTTCTAAAAGTTACATCCACTTTCAAGGTATATTTTAGGTAAACAGTACAATTGCATTCATTATTGGGATCTTGTACCTTTATATTACAGATATTGCTTCTCATTTCCCCCTTGTCCCTGCCTTCCCTTCACCCCCTCCTCCCCTCCCTGTTTACAAACACTTTATTTCCACTTTATTTTTTTCCATTTTCTCATATTTTTTTCTTTTCCCTCATTCCCTTTACCCTATCCTTCCCACTTTCCCTACACCTTTAGCCCTTTTCTTCCTTTTTCACATTGTCAATTATCTCATTAGGATCTTATGTACTATTATAGTTTTTCACACCAGAGAAACTATTCAGTATTTACACATGTGTGACTTATATATTTCACTTAGGAGTATATCCTCAAAATGTATCCATTTTTCTATGAATAAATCCAATTTCTCATTCCTTATGGCTGAGCAGTATTCCATTTTATAGAAAAGCCACATCTTCTTTATCCAGTTTCCAAATGATGGGCAATAGGGCTGTTTCCAAGATTTAGCTAGTACACACTGTGCCGCTATAAACATAGGTGTGCATATATCACTGTGGTATGATTCCTTTAATTCTTTTGGAAAGATACCCAGCAGAGGGATGGCTGGGTCAAATGGAACCTCTAGTCACAGCTCTTTGAGGGATCTCCATATTGATTTCCATAGTGGTTGCACCAGCCTGCACTCCCATCAACAATGGAGAAGGGTTCCTTTCTCCCCACAACCCCCCCAACATTTGTTATTGTGTGATTTCTTGATAGCACCCATTCATTGTGGGGTGCGGTAGAATCTCAGTGTTGTTTTCATCTGCATCTCTCGAATGATCAGTGATGTGGAACATTTTTTCATATATTTACTTCCTGCTTTTACTTCTTTGTCTGAGAAATGTCTGTTCATTTCAGATGCCCATTTTTGAATTGGGTCTTTATATTGGGGGGGGCTGATTGTTTTGAGTTCTTCATATATTCTAGATAATAGTCCTTTGTCCGAGGAGCAGCTGATAAAAATGTTTTCCCACTTTGTAGGTTGTTTCTTAGTTCTCTTGGTGGTTTCTTTTGCAGTGAAGAAACTTTTTAGTAAGATGTGATCCCAGTTGTTGATTCTATCTGCTAGTTCCCGTGCTACTGAGGATTTCTTCATAAAATCTTTTCCTATGCCAATATCTTCAAGAGTTCTGCCTCACTTATCTTCCAGCAAGTTTAGTGTTTCTGTTTTAATATTTAGATCTTTAATCCATTTGGATTTTAATTTAGTGCATGGTGAAAGATAAGGGTCTAGATTTAATCTTTGGCAGGTTGAGATCCAGTTTTTCCAACACCATTTACTAAAGAGGCTATCTTTCCTCCAGTGGGGACTGTCAGCTCCTTTGTCAAAGATGAGGTAGCTGAGTACATCTGGAGTTGTTTTAAGGTAATGTTTTTTTTTTTTTGTATTATATGGATACTGTTTTAAAATATTGACATGTATCCCCAATGAAATCCATTCCATTTGACTTATTATTGGGAGTATCTCTCAAATAAAATGCATATCAAACTCCCTACCTGTCTTTTCTTCTTTTAGATTCATCAGGAAATGAGAGTAGGAAATAGGGTGGGAAGATGCAAGATCCAGAGTCTACTTTTGCGCAATCAAATATGTAGCCTTGTTCTCTGGGGAGTTAGACAGAGAAACTTGTATCTACTGCTAAACCTTCTTAATATTATATATATCCATAAATAGCATTCATATAACTTCAGTCTAAATTCTAAATTGGAAAATCTTGCCTATTTCAGGAAAAGGAAACTGTAGGCAATGAGGAGTATGTGTTCTGTGAAGAAAAGTTTTCCTTCTGTTGACCAATGAGAAGACCTGACTTATGCCCAAATAAAGACTCACAGTCAAGAGTGAATATGTTGTACCATCTTATTCTAATGCATGGGGTTATCTGTGGGAAGATCCTGCAAGTACACAGTACTAATGTATGTATGTGAGTATCAGAAATTCAATTGATAGATAATGTACCACTAAGGAGAAACTGGTCTGCTGGGTATTTGATAAATATTAATTGATAATGAAAAAGAAACATTTTAAAGTACATATAATATATTTAGTGGGGGTATCTTGGTGGTGCATATTTTTAAGGTGTTAAACTATGCTTTTTGTTTTGAAGGTTCACTTGGAACAAAAGTGCAGAGGAAATTAGTGAAATTATTGGATCATTTATACACTGGCCGAATCTACATACAGAGTTTCAATTACTTTCAAGAAAGGCTTATACCATGATTCAGGGAAGGATGTGATTTTAAGGGGAAAACATGCAGAACTCTCCTATGCTTATCACAGTTCCTGTAGTGGACGGCCACTGATGATTAAAAATACAACTTTCTCTTGTTACTGCATATGTAAAGTAATCCAGTTAGATTAAAGTTTTATGTTTTCAGACTCTAAGACATGTAATTTTGCAACTTATTAGGCACTTGGAACTTTAGATTATGGCCTCACAGTTTGATTCTATCTATGACATAGTTGGATATCATCTAGGGTGAAACAGCCTAATCCTTCACTCCAAATATCAGAGATTAGACTCCTATTAATTTTCATACTTTGGGGCATTGTGGATTATCATCCTGGAGGCAAAAGCTGTGATTTCATTAAGCCCAGGGCAAGCCATCAGTGGTGCATCCTGAGAGCCTAGAAGTAGCCACTCTATCTTAGCTCTCCCCTTCCATGTGGCCTTGTCAGTGTCAGTGCCTCTCAGTTCAATACTTAGAACCATGAGTAACAGAGGACAACAAATATCGCATAATAGTCCTTGATTAGAATTTGACCTTAACCAGTTTGAGTGAAAATTTGGAGACTATTCAGATGAAAGATAGTTCCCAATACAGCCTAAATGTGTTAAATCACAAACTGTGATTTAGATAGGCCTTTAAAGCACAATGCTCTGATACAATTTTTAAGAACACTAAGTTATCACGAATAAAAATGTATTTGTGACCTTTAGTATATAAGGATCAAAATATTATTTTACAATAACTAAAAGTTAAATGCTAATGTCTTTCTGTGCTGTTTTGGCTTGGGTTTTGTTGGGATTTTTGTTGCTGTTGTCATTTTTTGGTAATGCTATGGATGGAAACCAAGGCCTCATAAATGTGAGGCAAATGTTCTACCACGAAGCTACACTTCTGGTTCCCTTTTTACACCCATACAAATATGTATTTTATGTTGATTTATGCTCTCAATAAAAACAAATTATCAAGGTGAATTAAATTTTTTTGTTTTCCAGGATCAAATTCACAAATTCAGAAAAAGAAATTTAAGAATTAATCTGATAATATCAGAATTACTACTACCTTTCTACACACAAAAGTAGTTGTTTTTATATCACAAGATTTCTGACTTAGGCATATTCTATGATAATTTAACTCATTAATGTAACAAATTTACTAGGAATTGATGTATATTTAGTATTCTGTTTTTGAAAGTTTCTGATATGTTCTACATCTTCCACCTTATTATGCTATCTAGAATAATTTCAGTGTGTTCTTCCTGGGCTGATTGTATGGCTCCAGTGTTGAACAGATGTTGAAATGTGTTATGATTGTATTTAACATTTGGTCCTTTAAGGTAAAAAATGGCTTGTAGTATTATGTTGAAGTAACTGATGTATTTTGCTTAATTTTACAGTGTGTTGGATTATATATAAATTAAAATAAATTTCAGATTGCTTGAAATAATTTTTACAACTTAATTGAATAAAGAAATGCATTTAAAGTCAATTATGCTGATTTTGAGAAAACAAAAACTTCTTTAACAGTTGCTAGCCAATGTCAGGTTTATATTTGAGAACAAAAGTAGATGTGTTAATGCTACTTGATTATAGTGAGAATAAGTGAAACTGTGTAATTACGTTTTCAATGAACTCTAACCAAGAAAATAAGTCAACTTGTAAAACATCCCAAATAATCAATTAGTTGAAGTTGTGTGTTATCCAACCCTTAAAATGTCATCTATGTTAATTTATTTCTAGAAATTGGTCATGTTGCCCTTTGAGGCACTAAGGATTAGAAATGTTCATTTTTATGGTCTTTAAAATTAGAATTATTTTCCCTATGGGCTAATAAGTTCAAATCTTATTAAATTTCAACTTGTGTTCTTTGTTTTCAATTTTATAAATTGAATCCT